GTTGCACTTAAAAAATATCTTTTAGTGTCTCTGAGAATTGAGATATCATAATCAATGGCATCTTACAAATATAATGCAGTGATTTTTCTTTCTTAGTGGCTCATAAAGTGGTAGTGCACCTTACTATCAATGTCATTTGGGTTGGAAGTGTTAGCTGTTTGCGGGATATATGCTGTTGGCTAGACCAGATGTGGTAGGAACCTGCTGCTTGCTAGTAGTTGTGCAGAGATTGAAACAGGGAGTTCCTTCAGCTCCGAGGGAACCTGAGGAATGGGAAAAGCAAGGTTCAGCTCCAGGACATTGGCACGAAGCCTGTGTAGGGTAGGACCAACGTTTGTTCCAGCCATGACCCCCGAGCCATTCCATGGGACCCCTGAGTCAGGGGAGGGGGCAGAAGCTGCTGTGAGCCAGTGAGGCCAAGACCAAAATAACAGGCCATGTCGGTGGAGTTCTGGAATCTCCGTGTAGGACGGAAACATTCAGGTGCTTCAGCACAAAGGGGATTCGGTGGTTGGATGCGGGGCAGGGAGTTGGGAGTGTATTGCATCCTTTGTCCAGTTTGCTCCCGTCCCACAGCGCCTGGGAGGGCCTTTGTCCTCTGACCCTGGAAGGCCATGGTTCGGGGACCAAGACGAGAGAAGGACAGCTGAAGGAGACGGTTGCCCTGAGATGAGAAGTAGACTAAAAATATAATTTTGCTTAAGAAGGTCTTCCTGGTTGGTAGGGAGAGGTGTTCAAGTGCCACGATGGAGGTGGGTGCTGGGTGCTGTGGGCGCCCAGAGGGAGGGAAGGAGCTGGAGTTATGAATCGTAATGTAAATATTACGAAGAGCCTGGAAAGTGACGTGTTCAAGCTGGGTCTCAGGATGAACAGGCAGCTAGAGAGGGCCTGGAGCGGATCCAGGCCAAGGAAGGCCCTCTAGCCCGGGGTCCTACAACCGGACTCCCCAGCCCTGTCCGGCCTCTAAAGTCTTCCGGCCCGCCCGACTGGCCTTGTTTGACCTGTCCACGCGGGGCAGGTGGAGTTGTTGGTCCCTGCCTCTGTCTCCGGCCTCCTCCATCAGCTCTTGTAACAACTGCCCCTTTATCTGACTTCATCAGAGCTCAAACAGTGTTTCATTTCCCTCTTTTCTGCCATCGGCTGCTGCCTATTAATTAGTGCCGTTGGGCTCCCCACCCTCAGTTCTCCTTCACAAACCAAGCTGCCCCTCCCTGGGACATGATTACAGACCTTGGCTGTGGGGACCCCCTGCGCCAGCCGCCAGAGTGGCCACAACTTGGCCTGATGCTTCATCTTGATTAGCCCTTCACGTCACCCCTCCCTTCTTCCCTCCGTCTTCCCCATGACGCTGCCGGCCTGACACTGGCTGCAGGTTAGCATCTCCTGTGATAGCTGCCCTCTTCTCATGCTGCTTCAGGTCTTGGAGAACAGGCCGGGGCTCAGGGAGACTGGGGCGATCCCCTCTCCTGACCCTGCAGAGTCTCGCATCAAAACCCTAGTCAGGCCCTGGCCAGTGTGGCTCAATTGGTTGGGCGTTGTCCTGTGCCCTGAAAGGTTGCCAGTTCAATTCGTGGTCGGGCACATGCCCGGGTTGCTTGCTTGGTCCCTGGTAGGGGGTGTGCAGGAGGCAGCCAGTCCATATGCTCTCACATTGAAGTTTCTCTCCCCCCCACTTATAAATTAATTTAAAAACAAACAAACAAAAACCCCAGTCAGCTTGTTCCAGATCACTTGACCTCATTATAGATCTGAGATCACAGATTTTGATCTGTGCTGCCTCTTAAACCCTCAGCTCTGGTGACTGCTCCTTTCTTGTTTACTTAGCTGCCATATGAAATCCCAGATGCTCCAAGCCCTGCTTCTTTTCACCCCTTTATAGCCACCTAGCTCCCTTACCCCCGTCCCCTGAACCTCCCCAAACCGGCTCCCCAGCTGCCATCACTGCGGCCCTTCACGTCTCTGTTCTTTCTCGGGTTTGATTCTTGACTCCTCTTTCCTCTGGATCCTTCTCCCCGGACTCACTCATACTCACAGGCTCTCCTTTGCTCACGCTAAGCCTGGGCTAAGCCTTCTTTCCTGATAGCTGGGCTGCATTACACACCGCAGGAGACACAGCCAGACTGGCAGAGGGAATGGCAGCTACTGTGAGGGCTAAACCCACCACCACTGATGGCACGCCCCACGCAGTGCGCCGGGGCCCGGAGGAACAAACTCCATTTTCCGGATGAGGAGAGCGAGGCTCGGGATCCCTAAACTTGTTCAGGTGCAGCAGCTGAAAGAGCCTGAGCGTATCTAAACTCAACCCTTCCATCCTCTAGTCTGCTTAAGTAGTTCTTTTCTTTTAACCTTTACAGACTCCTTTAGGTCAAAATGATTTTCCTTGGAAAGAAAGTCTCTGGCTCATCATCCTGCCCCTCCTCTCCCCTCAGCCCAAGGGGCTCAAATGTGCCCCAGAACCTGGCCCCTGAGGGGGCCCTCCCCTTCCCACAGGGCGGCCCCAGATCAGACCTGTCCTCTACACCCGAGGGAGCAGTGAGAGGGGACGGAGAGGGGCTTCCTGCCAACCAATGGGGAAGCGACAGCCTGGGCTCTGTGCCGGCATCATCTGCTCCTGCTAAGACAATCATCAACATAAAAGGCTAATTGTATTAATCACCAAGGCACCCGTCCGGAGTCCCCCTCCCTTTGGGGAGAATTATGAATTGCAATTGCAGATGGCTCTGCTGATTGAAAGCAGTGCTCAGCAGGGAGAAGGGCCAGATCAGATTACACACCATTAATTAAAAACTTCCCCTGACAAATGGGAGGAAGGGAGTGCGCCGAGGGTCTGCCTGGCTGGGTCTCTGTCCTCCCTGTGCTCCCCACTCCCACCTGGGGCCGGGGGCTGAGGCCGTGGAGCCCACTGGCCGAACCCGCTGAGATTCGGCTCCCTGAAGGCCAGCCCTTCCCTCGGCCAGACAGATGGCTGGCTGTCCTATTAAAGGCTGCGGAGAAGGAGGGCTCCCCGTTGGTTCCTCTCTCCTGTCTGACTTGGGATGCTCTTCAGGCTGTAACCTAGTTCCTCACGTCTCAGGAAGCTGGGCCGGGCTCTGTCACAGCTTCACAGGACTGTGTGTGAAAGCAGCCCCCAGCTTTCCCCTCAGGCAGTCACCCTTGCTTACCCTTTTGGCCCAGAGTTCCTGGGACACAGGTCACACAGCTGGCTCTGGAGTAAGGGTGGGACTCAAGTGTGACTTCGCCCTCTTCCAGCCACCCCTGCCGGCTCCTGTGCAGCTGAGGCTCCTGAATTCTCCTCTTGATCAATCACCACCTCCTCTCCCTCCCAGCTGCCCACCTTCAGTCATTCATCCACCAGACTTTTATCAAGCACCGAGTGCCCTGGGCTCTGGGATGTGGAGGTAACTTGTCCAGGAGCCTAAGGGCCCGCTGCAGGAGCTCCCCCTGCCCCCTTCAGCCTTCCTCTCCTGCTCCCTCCCATCCCGGGGCTGTGGGAGCCCCCCTGGTGCACCATTTTGGAAAATTCTAAGCTGGGAGCTAGGGAGATCTAAGGGGCTGTGGTACTCTGAGCCAAGCTACCTTTAGCAAGCCAATCACCTCACATACACACACACACACACACACACACCCGGCCACCCTGCTCATAAAGGCACCAGAAGCCCTGGGTGCTTTTGTGACAACGGATGAGGGCAGCCCAGCCTGGGGAGATGTAGCCGGAAGCCGTCCTCTGCACTGACAGCATCACAGGACCCTGGGCAGGACTGCTGTGGCCACGAGGACGGGACTGTTCTGGCCCTGGTCGCAGGCTGGGCCTCGTCACCCAGCCTGGGAAACTGGCAGCCCTTTGGAGACCTACCCAAAGGGAAAGGCCTATCTTATGGATTCGGTTGCTGCATCTCAGAATGCCATGGTGATGGGCACCATAGAGATGAGAAGAACTAACTTTTATTGGCTTGTCTCTTCATTCCAGGGTCCCTCCCCCAGCACCCCCGCCCCCTCGCAAAGCTCGCAGATTCTCACCCCACCCATCCTCACACAGCTCCCAGGTCTGCAGCCTCAGCAGAAAAGGAGGGGAGCAAATGGAGTGAGAGAAAACGTCCCCTGTCTCTCCCTCTCAGTCATCTCCCCGTCTCCCTTCTTCCCATTATCAACAGCAATTGTATTTAAACCCAATAATTACAGTAATAGCAGCAATAATCATCATTTATTGGCTTTGTTTTTCTAACACTTTTACTTCCCCAAACATTTTCCAATTCCTTACTTGTTTTCACAGCAGTCTCTAGGGGAGGCCTGTGCCCATTGGGTCCCTGGGGAAGCTGAGGCCCAGGCAGGACCCGGGTCCGGGCAGAATCGGTTTGTAGCAGCTTGTAAAGACTAACGAACCAGCAGAGACTCTGGCCGTCCTTCAGAGGCACAGAGCTGAACATCTTGGTGCCCTGCTCCATTCCTGCCATCCTTGGGACTAGTCCACAGCGTTCCGGGTCCTGGCAGATTTGAGAAGAGGCTGAGACAGCTCCTGTCGCCCAGGGCATGGCCGAGGGCTGGGCCGGAGTCATCCCCTGGATGGGACAGGGCGCGGGGGCAGGAAAACCCCCGGAAGAGCTTGCCCCGGGAAAGGCCATCAGGCTCAAACCTTCCTGGCCTGTATCCCGCCCTCTGCCAGCCCGAGAGGAGCTTCCTCTCCGTGTCAGCTCTTCCCAAGGGTGGGCTTCTCTCCTGAGCATTTGGGGGTGGGGGGTGAGGGGAGTGAGGGGTGAAGACCTAAAGGGAAGGTAATCTCTGTCCTCAGGAAGCCCCCAGCCTGAGGGGGGAGCCAGGGCCTCCTCCCCCGCTCCCCCCAAACCACAGTGAAGGGCAGAGATCCCTCTGAGGAGCCCCGAGTCTTCTGGGGAGTCTGGCCTCTCCTCCCTGCGGGTGGGGTAAGAAGTTGGGGTTCCCTGAGGTCCCTTTAAGCAGACTGGCTCTCTGGGCTCTAATTCCCCTGTCTCCCCCCCGCCTCCCCCCGCAAGACCTGGGGGTCTGGAGTCCAGCTGGATGAGAGAGGGGGCGGGCAGGCGCGAGTCCCCTGCCTCCCTCTGCTGTTCATTGGAGATGGAGGAGGAAGCGGGACAGATTTGCTCCCCGAATTCTATCTAGAAACGGATGCCCGGGGGAGGGATTGGTATCCCCTGCCCCCACCTGTTAGGACAAGAGGCCAAGCCCCCCTACACACCCTTACCCCCGCCCCCCTCGGGAAACCTGAAGTCGTGTCACATGAGGCACATGCCCATGCACAGGCCTCGCCAAAGCCTGAGCGAGGCCGAGTGCTATGCTATCTGACACATGTTCTCCATCTTGGTGTCCCCTGGACCGGACGGGGGCTTGTCTTCCTGGGGCTCCACCCCGTCCACCTCCTCCATCTCCGAGGTGCCTGTGAGGATGGCCAGCCGCTGGGCCAGGGTCTTGGTGTCGGGGAACAGGATGAAGTTGTAGATGAGCGACGCCAGGACAGCCCCTGTCAGGGGTCCCACCCAGAAGATCTGAGTAGCAGAGAGAGGGGCACCGGCTGTGAGCCATCGGGATCACAGGGGGCTGTGGGACCCCTGACTGCTTCCCCAGTGCTGGTGTGGTCTCCCAGGAGCCCTGGGGCTGCCTGAAAGGTGGCAGATTTGAGAAGCAGGAGTCCTGTCCAGAACTGTCCCGCGAAGGGGGGCGGGGGATCTCGCCTCCCACAGGCGGCCCAGGCTCCTCGCCACTCCTTCCTCCCTGCTCTCACCTCCCCTGTACCAGCCGGGAGCCCTGGCTAGTGCTGCTCCTAGCTTTGCTGGTGTGTGTGTCTATTTCTGTTTGCCTTGTTCTTTATCCAAGTTTGGAAATTGGTCCAGCTGGAGACAGTGAATAAGGAAACAGCCAGGACTCGAGGCTGCGGTTCCCGCCCTGGCCCATTTCTAGCCGGTCCCCTGGGCACCCTGGGCGATGGAAGCCAGAGCGAAAGGAAGAACAAGCCCTGGCCTTCTGAGCTCAGGGAACCTCCCTCAGGGGGCAAGCTGGTCTGTGGCAGGGCGACTGCCTGCCTGCCCCGGTGAGGCCCGGCCCTCACCCCCTCACCCATGGCTGCCCCCGAGGGTCTCACCCAGTGGACTTCGAACTTCCCGACGATGACAGCAGGGCCGAAGGAGCGGGCGGGGTTCATGGAGCAGCCGGTGAAGTAGACCTGCGGAGTGGCTGTGGGTCAGGATGTGCAGGGATAAGCAGGCCTGGGAGGGCACCGTCCCCGCAGCCTTAGTTCAGACCCAGCTCCGGCCGTGGCCTCTGCAGCACGTAGCCTGGGCCTGGAGTATGGGGCTCCCCACCCCCACCGCCCAAGGCCTGAGGGGCGCAGGGAGGGACGTTCCCCGGCCTTCGGGCCCCCGCAGCCCCTCTGCCCCTTACCCCGATGAGGTGGCCCAGGGCCACGGAGGTCCCGATCATGGCGGCCGGGGAAGCCGCGGTCTGCCGGCTGTCGGTGGAAGCAAAGACACAGAGCACCAGCTGCAGGGTCAGAACCAGCTCCACCGCCACCGCCTGGCCCGCCGAGACTCTGCTCTGCACCTGGGCGAGAGGGTTACCCTGGGTCCGAGGGGCTCCCAGGGGAGGTGCCCCGCCCGTTTCCTGGGTCACGTCTCACCCCTGCCAGGCCGGACGTCAGGACTGCGCAGGGGGTGGGGGTCAGCCCTGGCCGCCTGCTCCCTGCAGAGGCAGTGCCACCCCTCCCACCCCAGAGGCTGTTGGGGCCAGTGGTTTAGGAGGTGGCTGGGGCTCAGGATGGTGGGAAAGAGGAGGCACAGAGAAGCTGGGGAGCATGTTTGCGAGCTGATTGGGGGGAGACCTGCATGGGAGCGGAAGGAACAGAGGTGACTAGGGGAACTGGTTGGGGGCTGGTGAAACGGGCCTTAGGGTGCTGGGGGACCGTGGGGAGGGAGACGAAGTGCATGCAGGGTTCCTGCCGTCACCCGCAGCCCCAGCCCTCCCTGGCTTCCCCAGTCCTCGGATGCCTGGTCCTTCTCTGCCTCCTGCCCCTTCGTGCGGCTGCTCCCACCTGCTCCCCAACCCATGCCCCCACCCCTCCTCTGTCTGCACTGGAGCCGCACGCAGTCTGATTCCCTGGGGCCCAGGGCCCAGCACGGCAAGAGTGAGGCAGGCGCCTGTGTGGTTACCTCCCCGCCCCTGGCCCTGCAGGGGCCCCTCCCCGCACCTACCACGTTGACCGCCAGGGTCTCTCGGATGTCTCCCGGGGTGACCCCGTAGAGCAGAGCGGCGCCCACGATGGCCCCCGCCAGCTGGGCTGCCATGTAGGCCAGGGCGCGGGGCAGGGAGATCTGGGAGCCCACGAGGAAGGCCAGCGTCACGGCGGGGTTGACGTGCGCCCCGCTGGTCTTCCAGGTCACCTGCACCACCATGGCCGTGGCCAGGTTGAAGGTGATGGCGACCTGCAGCACAGAGGGCAGCGCCGAGGGCCAGCGCATGGCCGAGCCCACGCCGAAGAACACATACAGCCCCGTGGCCAGGAACTCGGCGAACAGCGCCTTGCTGATGGCCGTCCAGAGCCGGCACCCCAGCCTCCCGGCCCAGCCGCAGCCTCCTGGCTCCATCCCTGCAGGTGCTGAGTGTGGGCTGCGGCCCCCTCCGCTCCAGGGCCCTCTGCTCGCCTGGTCTGCCGTCCGGGCTGCTCTGGGGCCTCACTGGCCCGCCTGGGGCTCCTCGCTGCCTGCAGCCAGGGCGGTGCTGGGCGGACCGGCAGGGGCCGCGCTGGCGGGTTATGTGTGTCGGGGTGGGTGGGCGGGGTGGGCCGGCGCTCACATGCCTGTCCACCCGGAGCTCACCTGACAGCTGAGGGGGGGGGGGCGCGGTCTTGGGGCGCTGATCTGAAACCTCCAGGGAGGTTTCCAAGCTGGACAGGCCTGACGGGCTGCGGGCAGAGCCCAGCCGGAGGGCACAGGCGCTGGGACTCCAGGGCGCTCACATCCCTGATGCCAGCGTGGATAAAGTGAGGTCTCTGCATCCCCAAGCCCAAGGCCTGCCCCGGAGGGCCCTGTGCATTCGGGGGGGGGGGGTAGGAGGGGGGACGACAGGGGGACTCCTGTTCTCCTAGCCCTCTGCCTCCAGATGGGCTCACCCTACCTGTACCCCATAAGTCCAGATGTGAAAGGAAGCTCTCTCCTCCATCCCCACCTACAGCCCAGGTCACGGGAAGCAGCGTAAATAGCGTTTCCTAGGGACGTGGCCTGTGGGGACGCAGAGGGCCAGGTGGAAGGCGGCTTATTCTGTTCCACAGCTGGTCAGGCGGCACACAGGCCGTGCCACCCTGCTGCTTGCCCGCGGAATTTCCACTGGAGTCACACCCACTTCCCTGTCTCTCTCTGCTTCCCTCCCTCCCTCTCATTCCTCAGACACCCCCCGCCCCCACCCCCCCTCTCCTTCTCAGGGGACAAAACAGTGCCCTGTGCCTCACACAGGGCAGCTGAGCCGTTTTTGTGGCTGTTTAGAGGCTATGCCGCCCTGAAGTCACCCAAGCCCTAGGCTCTGCCCTTCCATCCTTTGCCGTATATATAGCGAGGTGCTGACCCAAACAAAGGCATTCCCTCCCTAAGAAGGCTCTGCCGAGCTGCTAAAATAACCACCTCTGGGTGCCAGGGCCTCGCCCTGGACATACCCACCTGCCCAGCGGATGCCCCCTCTTGTCCTCAGGCCCCCGCAAACGAAACCTTTCCCGAAAGAAGGTCTTCCTCTCCCATCCCCAAACACCCCTCCTGCCCCCCACCCCGCTCAGCTGCAGGCACCTGGGCAGCATCCTGACCCTCCCCCCCACCCCCCACCCCCGTCCACCGAAGGCCTCCGTCCTGCTGCTTCTGGGCCCTACATGCTTCTTGACTGAGCTCTCCTCCGGCACCCCTGCTGCCTGTAACCGTTCTGTCTGCTCCAATCAATTATCCACACCGCAGCCCCAGTGATCTTTCTAAAATGCAAATCTGTCCTGCTCTTCTCTGCCGAGCACTTCAAAGCTCCGTCCCTCCCGAGCCCCCTGCGTGCACGTGCCTGGCCTGCAGGCCCCGGGATCCCACTCCTCCTCCTCCTCCTCCTCCTCCTCCTCCTCCTCCTCCTCCTCCTCCTCCTCCTCGCCTCTCTCCATGCCTCGCCGGGCACTTTACCCTCCGGCCTCATCCGAAGGCCCGTGGGCTCCGGAACGCTCAGAGCTGGTCTGTCCTTGGAAGATGCTCTCTCTTCTCTTCCCACCTCCTCAACCCCCCTACCACCCCCACTCACCGCCCCTTCCCTCGGCGAGCCCCTCTGTGTGTCCCCGCCACACCTGGACAGTCTGCGCTGCAGTCACCACAGGCTGTGGCCATGGTGTTGACGGGTCTCCAGGGAGGCGGGAGCTCCTGAGGGAGGCAGGAGCCAAGGCTTGCTCATCCCTACAGGCAGTGCCCTGCGCAGGGAGGGAGCATAGTAGGTACTCAATAAGTAACTGGCGAAGGCATGAGCGAGTAAAAGCTTCCCTTCTGCTTCTCCTGAGTCTGTGCCTCCATCGGCTGTCTGAGGGGACGAAGAGGCAGGAGGAGTGGGTGGCCCCACTGCTGGGCTGGCTACGCTTCACCAGCTTTTTAAAAATGTTTTTGTTGATCTCAGAGAGAAAGGGAGAGAGAGAAACATCAATGATGACAGAGAGAGTCATGGATCGGCGGCCTCCTGCCCATTGGTGATCGAGCCAGCAACCTGGGCATGTGCCCTTGACCTGGTTCGAACCCGGGACCCTTCAGTCCAAAGGCCGACACTCTATCCACTGAGCCGAACCAGCTAGGGCTTCACCGGCTTCTTGACCTCCTGGAGGCGGGTGGCTTTCACATCTGCTTCCTTCCAGCTGTCTGTTCTTAGTCTTATCCCCGCTCTCACCTGGGCCCGGGCCCTCTGAACTCTTCCAGGGAAATACCCCGGCTCTGATCACAGGCTCTGGCCACCCACCTCCCCCATCTCAATCACATAACACTGCCCCCTGCCCCGCCCCCATTCTGTCCTCCCTACCTCCTCCAGCCAGATGCCCTGGCCCTGTCCTGGCTCTCTTTTCTCCCCCCCCCACCTGCTCCTCTCCATTCCCATTCTGCTCACACCCTCTGCCCGCCACCCGCTCTGCCGAGTGCCGCTGGACACGCTCGCCCAGCCGTGCCGGCCGCCACCACGACAAGCCCACGGTTCCTGGCCTCAGCAGGGGCCGCTGCTCCGCTCTGCAGTCCTCACAGCACCCTGGGCGGCCGCTCCCCATTCTCCCACGGCCCCCACTCTTCAGCTTCCCCCACTCCGCTCAAGAACCTGCTCTTCCAGCAGGTCGGCTGGCCTCCTGTCCACCCAGACAGCCACGCTGGCGGGCAGTGCGCCCTCCCGCCCTCCGGCCACAGCTCGCCGTGGCTGCCGTGGCTGCCGTGCCCTGGCCCACTCCCCTGCCCCGGGGCAGAGGCAGCCCCCTGGCTGAATGAGGGCCCACCCGGGCGGGGGGCGGGGGAGTCTCTGCGGTTCTGTCTCACCATGGCTTGCGCTTCTCCCTCTCCTGGCTCCTGTATGACGTGCCCGGTCGCTCGGAGTCCTGGGGAGACCGTGAATTTGGAACGCCCTTCCTCTTGTCTCTTTTCAAAAGACTTTGTTCCAGTCTGACTCCTCCATGAGGTCTGCCTGGTTTTCCTCTCCAGCGGAGGCAGGGCAGGCTGCGTGGAGAAGACGCTGGGCTTGAGCGAAGCCAGGGGCTGCTCCGGCCCCGCCACCTGCCTGCCTCCGCGGTCCCAGCACAGGCTCCTGTGCTCTGCTGGCCGGAGGAGTCTTCCAGGAACCCCTCAGGGAAGGAGGCCCGGGCAGCCTGGGTGGCGTTCCTCCGAGCCTCGGTGGGCGCTCTGCCGGAGGCTGTCCCCGAGAACCCTCCCCTGGGGACGGCCACTTCCAGCCCCGCCACGTTTCCCAGCCTCAGCCCTGGGCCTGCACTCCAGGCACCAAACCACAGGAGTCCGCCAAGGCCTCGCTGTCATGCACTGCACTCCCGACCAGCGCCCAGCGCCTGCGCCTTCAGTTTCCCTCCGAATGAAATGGAGACTGGAACCCCCACCTCCACACGTGTCATTAGGAGTCAATGTGCCGATTCCCGGGAGGTGTTTCTGAGCGAGGAGATGCTGGTCATTAGAACCGCCGCCCCTCCCCCCCCTCTCCGGTGAGAGGGCCCAGGGCGGGCCGCGGGGAAGGGTCGGGTGGCTGCGGCAGCTCCAGGACACGCAACCCGCGCCCCGCCCTGGGCCCGGAGGCCGGGCATGAAGAGCAGGGCAGCCTTTGTTCTGGTCGCCCAGAGCAGAGCCTCCCGGGGCCCAGCCCGGCCTGGGACAAGGTCCTTCACCTCCGAGGCCAGCGGGCACTGGCCAGGGCTTGCTCCGGTTCCAGCCCGGTGACCTGGGCTCTAGGTCACTCGCGCTCAGAGGCCTTCTGCCAAGGCCCCACACCTGGCGGCCCACACCGCCTGTCAGGGGGCCGTGTGCGCTTGGCCTCCCAGAGGCCTGTCTCTGGGCGCCCAGGTCCCCGAGAAGGGAGGAACATGCGTAAGGGAGTGCGAGCTCTGACGGAGCACCAGGGTTCGGGGGAGATGGGGCAGCAGGAAGGAGGAAGGTATCAGGAGAGAAGAGGAGGGGCATAAACACATGACCGGAGGGAAGACGTCAAGATAGCTTCCCTCACCTCATCTCCCCAATCCCCGCAGAACGTGGCAGGCGAGGCAGTCTGACCGCGTCTGCACAGACAGGGGAGGGAACCGAGATCAGAGAGGGGCCGAGAGAGCTGACCCTGCAGCCCAGTGGTTGGCAAACTCATTGGTCAACAGAGCCAAATATCAACAGGACAACGATTGAAATTTCTTTTGAGAGCCCAATTTTTTAAACTTCGTCTAACACCACTTCTTCAACATAGACTCGCCCAGGCCGTGGTATGTTGTGGAAGAGCCACACTCAAGGGGCCAAAGAGCCGTGTGTGTGGCTCGCGAGCCACAGTTTGCCAACCACGGCTCCAGCCCACCCTCCCGTCCATCCATCTAGACAGCCAACCTCTGTCCATCCTCTCCTTCACCCCCAGTCCTCCATCTCTTCACCGCGTCTCCCTTTCTTTCCACCGGTGAGACCTGGCAGCCCTGCGCAGAGGGGAAGCGGAGGGGTAGGACGCCTCTTAGAGGGGAATCAAGGCGCTCCCTGGTCCCATCTTCAGGTGGAGCAGAGGGTCCCAGGGGTGTGACTGAGCATGTGTGCTTGGGTGTGACACACATGCGCCTCTCGGATTACACACATGGAGCCGGGACACGAGCGGAGGGGATTGGCGAGGCTGTCATACGCACGGAGGGAGCAGCCCCTCGGCACACACAGCTGCAGGTCAGGGCGGATGCGGGGCTGGGCGTGCGCCCGCTCCTGCAGGTCTTTGTGAGCCCGGACCTGGCGGCACGTGGAGGATCAGCCACCGCGGAGCACAGCGCCCTCTGCTGGCCACGGAGCCCGACTGCCGCAACGTGGCCGTCCAAAGCGTAGGTGGCTCCTCTCGCTCTGGCGGCGCCGGGAACTCCCTCGGACTGGGTGCTTCCCCGCGCCCTGAGGGTCTGTCCCCCACAGGCCCACTTGCCAGAGAAAGGAACGCAAGTTGCTGGGCTGCGGGAGAGGCCAGCCTCCCAGGCACGGCTGTGCCTGCACCTGAGTCTTCTGGAGGCTGAATGGGAAAGGATGCTCTCTCTTCTGCATCCCATCTCGGATCGTGGCGTGGCGGTGGACTGGGAGTAGCTACTTCCCGGTGGCCCCAGGGGAACCAGGCCTGAGAGACTCCCCGTGTCCTCCATCCCCCACCTCTGGAACCCAGACCCAGAATTGGAGGCCGAGAAGCGCAGCAGCATTTGTGCATTCGGTGGTCGAGGTCGCCCTCTGCTGGTGGGAGCTGGCACTGGCGGCCGGGCCTGGGTGGAGGCCGGAGCTGGCCGCCCCTGTCCACAGGTTCTCACATGCATAGCTGCCTCTTGGTGTTAACTGCACGCTGATGAGGCAGGCGGGGCAGGGCAGGGCGGCTGTAGCTCCCACTCACAGATACTAGGCTCAGGTGGAGGAGGGCTGGGGACTCTGCCGCCCTCACCCCCACCCCCTGCCACTGACCCTTGCCAGCAGGGCCTGCAGACTCTCCCTCTTCTTCCCTGCCCATCTCCGAGCCCAGCCAGCCCCTCGTCTTCTGAGGCAAAGCCGAAGACTGTGGAGCAAGCTTCCCACCCAAGAGAAAAGCTGGCGCTCAGGTTCACACACTCCCAGGAGAGCAGAGGCCCGGACTCGGGGTGCGGCCAGGGTCCCAGCTGCTGATTCCTCTTCACAGTTGTTTACTGAGCGCTCACCCTGAATCATCTGGCCCTGTGGGCACCAGGGTTTTATTTCTATCCATTGGTTTTATCCTCACAGCCACCATGAATGCAAGGAGCCCCCTTTCCCAGGCGAGGTCATTGAAGCTCGGAGGGTGTATGTTACCCAAAGTTAGGCACCCAGACTTGGACCCCAGCAGCCTCTTTAAGTCTGAGGCAGAGCCTTGTCCTGAGCTGCTCATCTGCACCCCACCCTTCCCCACAGCGAGCAGCGGGTCCTAGGAACCTCACCCCTTCATCTCATCTGATCCCCACAGCAACCTGGGAGGGAAGCAGCTTTAATCCTCGTTTTGTAGCCTCGCAGATGGAGGCCTGGCTGGTTAAGGGGGTTCCCTAAGGCGTGTCCGTGGCAAGGGGACAAGAGCCAGTGAGGGCAGAGCAGCGGGCTCAGCGAGGAAGATGGTGGGGACACTGGGCGGGGAAGGGGAGACCAGAAAAGAGCTGGGCCAGTGCAGGCTGTGTGTGTGTGTGTGTGTGTTTTGTGTGTGTGCTTGTGTGTGTGTATGTGTGTGTGAGTGTGTGTGTGAGTGTGTGTGTGTGTGTGTGTGTGTGTGTGTGTGAGTGTGTGTGTGTGTGTGCTTGTGTGTGTGTATGTGTATGAGTGTGTGGGGGTGTTTGTATGTGTGTTTGTGTGTGTGTGAGTGTGTGTGAGTGTGTGTGTGTTGTGTGTGAGTGTGTGTGTGTGTGAGTGTGTGTGTGTGTGTGTGTGAGAGAGTGTGTGTGGGTTGAGTGTGTGTGAGTGTGTGTGTGTGTGTGTACATGTTTGTGTGTGTGTGTGTGTGTGTATGTGGCGGGGCAGGTAGGGCTGCTGTCCCTGAGCACAGGCTCCCAACATGGCTCCTTTTTAGAACACAGAGAGGCAGAGAGGGGAGTCCAGGCTGTGCCTCCTCCCTGATGACAGACCTGGCTGGTCACCCCCTTGGCATCTCAAGGGGCTGCAGGCTGGTTCGCTTCTCCCCCTCCCTGCCTGGCACACCCTCCTGGAGGGGCAGGGACTTGACATAGCTGAGGCGGGAGGGGCGTGTGGGCGGAGGCTGAGTGAAGAGGCTGCCTCCTCCTCTGCTCCCACTGCCTGCTCCTGACCTCCCGCGCTTTCTGCCTCTGGGCTCGCTCCCTCTCCCACTCGCCTCTCTCGCTCTTCCCTCCGCCATATCTGACTCCGGGCCCCCGGCCTCAGCTCCCTGTCCTTCCACAGAGGCCCGCGGAGCCGGGGGAGGTGTGGATGGTGAGGAGGAGCAGCGATGAGCCAGAGGCAGAACGTGAGCGTCAGCGGTTTATTGGGAAGCCCCCACTCCAACCCCGCAGCCCCAGCCCATGCACCTGGAAGCGGAAATACAATAAATAAGGCAGCATTAGTGAGCCAGTCTCTCCCTCCTGAGGCCAGCCTCTGCCTCCTAGGGGCTGGGATCCTTCTGGCTCTTGGGGGGTGGTGGGGGGCTGGGGAGTGAGGAATGCAGGCCACTCCCAACTGGCCTGGCCCCGGTGGCTCAGTGCTGTGTTCACACTCTCTGAGGTCTCACCTCATGGCAGCGCCTGGCCTGTCTCAGAGAGACCCCCTTCCCATCAGACCTTAGCCCCTGGCCCCACCCGAGAGTCCCATCATGGGTTCCCGCTCCCATTTCTAACTGCAGCCTGGGGAGCCAGTGCCTCCCCCCTAGAGGACCCGGCTGTGGGGAAGGAAGCTTTGTTGGTTTTTTTTTTTTGTGGGGGGGAGGCGGGTTCAGGGGTGAGGGGCTAGCTCTTGTCTGACTGGTCAGTGGGCGGTCAGCTCCATGGTCTTCTTCCGCTCCTCCCGCTGCTCCTCCCAGTCGTCCTCCGGCTCGTACGTGCCCTTGACGACGGCCACCCGCTCACTCAGGCTCAGCGAGGTGGGGAAGAGCAGGTAGAAGTAGAGGATGGCGGCCAGGGCGGCCCCCACGATGGGCCCCACCCAGAACACCTGGGGGAGACAAGGCGGCATCCGCGGGCTGAGCCCCAGGCCTGGGGACCCCACTCCCCGCCTCCGGAGGACAGACTCAGGGGACCCTCAGGAGAGACAGACATGCGGACCCCCAGAAAGAAAGGCTTTCTCCCACCTCGGGGAGACGAGATCGCAGACCCCCCAATGATAAGGATTTGGATCCCAGACACCCACATCCTTAAAGGAGACAGACCAGATCCCCGGAGCCAGGGCTCCTGTCCCTAAAGAGACAGATGAGCCATCAGAGGGAACAGACACATCGCTCCCCAGAGAGACAGGCAGAGGTCCTCTCCCTCCACAGGGGGGCAGGGCCAGACTCTGGAGGGACACCATGAGCTCCCAAAGGATTGTCCAGAGAGACAGACCCATGGGAATGGGAAGGAAGACTGTCCCAACCCCTCAACAGGGAAGTAAAACATCAGGGAGGACAGACACACAGACTCCCAGAGGCACAGACAAAATCCTCAGAGATCAGCCCAGGGGTGGGGATCCCCTCGCTTACCTAGAAGACAGACAGACATAGCTTCCCCCCCCACCCCCGCACACCCCAAAAGGGCCTCCTTGTCCATATAAATCTATGCCTGCATCCTATTCCCTATGGTGCCCCCTTCTCTCTGCAGCCACTGCTCCCCGGCCCACCCCAAACTCTGGGCCCACAGCACCCAGAAAGGCCAGAGGCGCAGCTGGCATCCCGGCCTCACTGCCGGGGACGGGGGGCGCCCAGACTCACCCAGTGTGCCGGCGTGAACCGCCTCATGACCACCGCGGGGCCGAAGGAGCGGGCGGGGTTCATGGAGCAGCCGGTGAAGTAGATCTGGACAAAGAGAGGGAGGTGGGGAGGGGGACAACGTGCATGTCTGCTCCCACCGAGCCCCAACTCTCTCAGGGTCACCCCGCAGTCCAGGGGCTCAGCCAGATCTCCAGCTCAGGATCCCCCATTCCCAGGCTGGTGACCTCTCCCTCCACCGGTCCCTGCGACCACTCCTCTCTTCTCCGCCCGCTTTTCCCGTCTTCCCTAGGGCTAGAGAAGGATTGGGGGCTCCAGGCTGGGACAGAGCACAGCAGCGCCACCCCAGGCCCACCGGCAGGGCTCCCTGGTCGGGAGAGGCACTGCTCCGGGGCCCCGTTATTTGCTGGGAGGGGCTCCCAGGACCCCAGCCACATGGCAGCTCTGCTCACCCCCACGAGGTGGCCCAGGGTGACGGACAGGCCGATGGACAGGGCCGGGGAGCCCACGGGGCCGGTGCGGCGGGGGTCGGTGGAGGAGAAGATGCAGAGCGCCAGCTGGAAGGTCAGAATCAGCTCCACCACCATGGCCTGGCCGGCCGTCGTGTTGTTGTTGAGCTGCAGGGGGAAGGAGGGTTAGGCTCGCCTTCCGGGGGCCTGGAGAGAGGGGGGTAGGGCCTCCGAGGACACCCCAGCCCCGTGCACGTCCAGGCAGGGAGGCCGGCTGCCAGAGAGTCTACCCAGGGGTCTTCAAACTACGGCCCGCAGGCCACATGCGGCCCGCAGAGGAGCCTGATCCGGCCCGCCAGGTTTTTTGGGCAGTGAGCGCAGCCGAGGTGTTACAGTAGGAATTAGTAGTTCATATAGTCCGGCCCTCCAGCTCTCTGAGGGACCGTGATCTGGCCCCCACTTTAAAAAGTTTGAGGACACACTTCACAGCACGTACAGGGCCCGGGGCGGGGGCCCTGGCCGGAGGGTGGGATGAGGGAGCTTCTATTGGCACAGCCCTATCAACGGTTCTGCCCAGGCTCCAACCCCCACAAGCTGGCATTTCCCCTCCCTCCTGTGGGCAGCTGCCCAGTCTGCCTACTGCACCCCCAGCCCACCTCCCGCCCGTGCCTGAGCCACTGCCAGGCCAACCTCAAACCCGTCTCTCCAGTGCGGCTGACTCACGGCCTGACAATGGCCGAGAAAATCCTCCTCTGTGTTTGCCTAATGAACCCAGTGTGCATGGGACATGGGGGCTAAATCTGGGGCTGAGGGGGGTGGGTACAGAGGGGGAGGCAGCGGGGGGCCAGGAACAGGAGCCAATATTCAGCAGACACCCTCCCATTAGGACAGAATGAGGGGTTCACATGCATGATCTCTAAAGGGGACCCCTTGACACCTGCTGTGGTAGGTGGCCGCCATCCCCCTGCAATGGCTGAGGAAAATGAGACTCAGAGAGGCCAGGGTCAGCAGAAGCCAAGGTTGCAACCCTCCTCTCTGATGGTTCCAGGAAACCACTCCACTGAGGAAGGGATGGGAGCTGTGAGGGCGCCAGAGGAAGGCAGAGCTCAGGGGGAGACAGGAGAAAAGGCAGGAGCTTCGGACAAAAAGGAGGGGCCGTAGGCTCCAGGAGAGAGGCCCGGAAGGGGCCACAAAAGAGGGGGCAGGTAAAACCCGGGAAGGCTGAGCAGGCACACTCCAGGGGCCCGGGTATTCCTCTTCCTGGCCTCGGTGGTGTGCCCTGGCCCACCCCCAGCCCCGGGGGGCACTCACCGCGTTGACGGCCAGGTTGCCCCGCGCGTTGGCCGGTGCCAGCCCGTAGAGGATGCCCGCGCCGGCCATGGCGCCCAGCAGCTGGGCCACCACGTAGAAGACGGCGCGCAGCAGGGAGATCTGGTTGCCCAGCAGGAGGGCCAGCGTGATGGCCGGGTTGATGTGGCCGCCGCTCACGGGCCCCAGGGCCTGGGCCAGGGTGCCGATGGCCAGGCCGAAGGCCAGCGCGATCTGGAGGATGGTGGGCAGCGCCGACGGCCACTGCAGGGCCGAGCCGAGGCCGAAGAAGACGAAGATGAGGGTGGCCAGGAACTCGGCGAACACGGCCTTGACGAAGGCCACGGAGCACACCTCCTTCTTCATGGTGGCCGCGGGGCCCGGGCGGCGGCGGCGGCGGGCGCCCGTCGGGGCGGCGGCGGGGGCGCGGGGGACGAGGCACCGGCTCCCGGGGGCGCGCTCTCCGGGGCCGGGCGCGCGGCGGGCGGGCTGGCGCGGGCGCCGCAGGGGCGCGCTATATAGCGGGCGGGCGCCCCCCGCCGGGGCGGGCGCGGGGGGGCAGGGGGCGGCTCCCGCGCTCCGCGGCCAGCGCCGCTCGCGGGGAGCGCCCTCCGCGGCCGCCCCGGGCTCTGCGCCGCCGCCGCCGCCGCAGTCCCGGGCCCCGCGGGGGCTCCAGCCGGGGCAGCGTGCGGCCTGTCGGGGCCAGGGGACCCGCGCGGCGGCGTAGACCGGCCCTGCGGCCGGGGCCCCGCGCATGGCGCGCTCCGGGCGGCTCCCGCGCTCAGCTCCGCGCCGCGCGCCCCGGGCCCCGCGGACACTTGGCTGGGCTCCCCCGTCCTACTACCGACCTCCGCCGCCGGGCTCGCCCCCCGCCGCGGTCCTCCCTGCTCTCCTCCTCCGCGGGCCCCGGGTCCGGCTCCTCCTGGGCCTCCCGCGCCCCGGGCATCCTCCCGCAGCCTCACCCCGGCGGGCGGCGGGGCAGAGTGATGCGATCCCCGCGGACAGCGCCTCTCAGCTCCCCGCTGGCGGGGGCGGCCAGCGGGCTGGGCCGTGCAGGGCTGTCAGTCCGGCCGGCCGTCGTGGGCCTCTCCCTGGCCCGGACCGGGCGGGCCTCCCGCGCTGGAGTGGGGGCGTTTTGGGAAAAGCGAGCTCCCGGGACAGGCTTCCCCGCGCCTGGCCACCCTGGACCTCAGCAGCCACAGGGCAGCCCTGGAAGGAGCCGGTGGAGCCCCGGAGGCACCCTCTGCTCTGCAACCGTCCTACCCCTGCAGCATGGCCTGCTTGGGGGGCCACTTTGTACACGGGACCGAAAGAGGGGCATGGTGGGTTAGGGTTTCAGGCAGGGAAGGAGCCTGGGACTTGGGGCGCTGGAGTGTGGTGGGGTGGGGGGGTGGGGCTGCAAGGCACCGCGGACCTCCCATGCCAGGACTGGGCTCTCCCGCCTTCCTTTCAGAAGCCCCCACCCCAGGTCCCAGCTTTTCCTTCTCCTCCAGCTTCTGCTCCCCGCCTCCCTCAGCCTCAGCCTCGGTAGCCTCCTTGTCCTTCAGACTCTCACTCAGCCTTGAATTTCCTCCCTCTCTCTGCAGCTCCTCTGGCTTTCTCCTTCGGTCTGTTTCTCCAAACCCTGTCCATCTCTCTTTTTCAGACTTTCTGTGTTTCCCCCTAGTCTCTCTCCCTTTCCTATCTCCGGGTCAGGCACGTGGGGAATGAGGCTGGAGCGCCCTCAGGGCTTGGAGGAGGGGCAGGGAATGACTCGGGAGGGGAGCTGCACTAATAACCTCCCTCCTCCAACCCCCCACCCCCCACCCCCACCGTGTGTCCTTGGGAAGACTTAGCACGGAGCCTGGTGCGGAGAAAGGCTAAGTAAAGCTTCCTGGTGTTGCAACTGTAATTTAAAAAGCCCCCCGAAGGCTCTGTGTGGAGCTAAGGTGGCGGGTGCAGCAGAGGGAAAGAACAGGTGCTCCTCTATCCGCCTGTCAGGTAGGGGCGAAGGGGAGGGGCCGGGAGGAAAGCCAAGGGCCCGGAGGTCCGGGCTCTGGGCTCCGTGGCAGCTCAGAGGCCAAAGAAAACAGGGACCGAAGAAACCCTGTTATTGTTCCTCCTCGGTCAGTGCTTCCTGCTGGCGTGGCTCCTCCCCCACATGGCTCCTCTTAAGGCAGGAGGTCTGTCTGTCCTTTCTGCCTTGGGTCCTGGGCCCTGCTCCTGGCACAGCATGGAGGCTGGGCGTAGGATTTTGTGGGCCTGTTGTGGGCCTGGCCCTGATACAATTTCAAAGAAATTGTTATCAAGGACCCTGATAACCCCACAGGCGCTGAGGGCTGTTGAACTTGCCTCCGTCTGCACCCTTCTTCCTTCTTTCTCTCCCTGGGCACTGTCTGCGTGATCCCACAGGTCTCTGGGGGTGGAAGGACTCGGCAGTGCTCACAGGAGACTGACCACCAGGGGAAGCTCCTGCTTGAGGATTTGGCCCAGTCCTTTACCTCTAACCAAGGTCTTCGGCCTCCGCTGTGTGATTCGATTCTGAACTGCGCGTGTGAGGAGACACAGGCTCAGAGGTGCGGAGTCACACCGTGACCTGAGAGGGGACCCTCGGTGTCACCAGGAATGGGCCTGGTGTGGCTGAACAAGGAGGCCTGGCTGTTAAGATTGCTCAGATGGGGCAGCTGGTTATGTTTCCTGGCTCTGTGCTGGAAATCCTTGCCTCTCTTCCAACTCTCCATCAGGGTCCCTCCGCCCCCAGGTTGTCACAAAGAACTATAGGAGCTCCCGTGTCCTGGGCTTGTCTTTGCTCTGAGCGCCAGGGCCCTGCCCTGCCAGCCCCAGAGGAGTGTGCTTCCCTGGGACCTTCGTGGGCTGGGAGATGGGTCTCCCCGCTTGAGGCAGAGAGGGTTAGACTACCTCAGGGAGGGCCCCTTCTCTCCTTTCCTGACATAGAGACCACTGTGTTCTCTGGGGGGCGGGGGTAACGGACAGGAGGATCACCTAGCCCCAGTGTTGGGAAATAGTCATTCATTCTCTCCACAAAGAGTTATTGAGCACTTATTATGCACCAGGCACTGCTCTAGGCACAGGGGCCGTAGCTATGAGCTAGCAGGCAACATCTCTGCCTCGTGGAGCTAATATTCTAGTGGAAAGAGACGGACAACAAATAACGGACATGTGCAGAGTATCTAGTACAATAGCCTCTGTTCAGTGCTATGGGAAAATAGGGTCTGTGCTGGGGTGGGAGTGGAGTTTCTTTGAAATTGTAAAGGGGTGTCAGTGTAGGTCTTACGGAGAAGGTGACAGCTGAACAAAGACTTGAAAGAGGAGAGGGAGAGAACCATGCATATGCCCGAGGGAAGAGCATTCCCAGCAGAGGGAGCAAGGGGAAGCTTAAGGAGGTGGTGGAGGTGGTGGAGGACAGAGGTGGTGGAGGTGGGTAGAGGTGGTGGAGGACAGAGGTAGTGAAGGTGGGTAGACCTGTGCACCCCCCCCCCCCGCCCCCCAGAGGACTGCTGGCTTCCTTGAGAGATCAAGGAAGTCACTGAGTCGAGGACTGATGTGGTCTGACAACGTTTGCAACACGGCCCCTCTGGTGCGGTGTTGAGAAGAGACTGGAGGGGCAGGAATGGAAGCAGGGGGACTGACATCCAGGGGGAGATGATGGTGGCCAGGACCTGAGGTGAGGATGATTGGATTCTGGGTCCCCCGTGAAGGTGGAACTGACAGGATTCTCTGATGAGGCTCACGTGGCAAGTGAGAGCAAGGAGTCAAGGATAATGAGCGTTTTGGCCTGAGCAGCTGGAAAATGGAGTTGTTATCAGTTGAGATGAAAGGACTGTGGGCAGAGCAGGTGTTTTTTAAAAGTACATATTTTTTATTGATTTCAGAGAGGAAGGGGGAGGGAGAGATAGAGACATCAATGATGAAAGAGAATCATTGATTGGCTACCTCTTACACCCCTCCCACTGGGGATTGAGCCTGTAACCCGGGCATGTGCCCTGACCAGGAATCAAACAACGACCTCCTGGTTTATAGGTGGACGCTCAACCACTGAGCCAGTGTGTCCAGGCATAGGAAGCACAGGTTTGGAGAGAAGAGCAGGTGGTCAGTTTTGAACTCATGGAGCTTTAGGTTTGTCCCAGACCCTGGAGGTTCTGCCCTGATTTTCCAACACAGTGCTACAGCCTGCACGAGGGGACAAAAGGGGCTGCTCTTGACTCTGTCTGCAGGCCACGCAGCCTACCCATGTCTTGGTGCCCTCTCCATGGTGCCACCTGAGCCACAGAGCCCGGATGCTCCTCTGGCCAGGTTGCCACCAATCAGTTGAGCATTGAAACCCTCGCTGCACCATTCCTAACAGCAGCTCTGGGGAGCCCAGGATGTGCCAGGGACCCCCGTCTGCCTGCCTGCACTTTGGGCTGTACTGACCATCTCTAAGTTGTGGAAGAAACAGCATTGGTTTGCAAATGAGCATTTATTGAGCTTAATATACGCAGGGTGCTGTGCCAGACAACACAGAGGAATGAGGATAGACAGGAGAATGCCAGCTGAGAACTGGGAGGAGGCCTGCCCCTGTAGGGCGTACAGTCTAGCTGGGGGGCATTGCATATGTACAGCTTAAAGATACAAAACATCAAAGCAACATTTGCAGGTGCAAAGCCTTTTATCTGACACAACGTGGGGGGTTACGGGAATGGATGCTGCTGGGACCCAGTGGTCAGCTACCTCCTCCCCTCAGCTCAGAGCCTTCTCTGTCCCCAGCCTGGGGACGTGTCCACCTGCCTCTGTGCTGCCCGGCCTCTGTCTGGTTTGAGATGTGACTCACTTCCATCCTCCTCCACCCTGAGTGCTCTTCAAGGGCAGAAACCAGCCCCGTGTTCTTCGTCATTTTACTCCTGCCCTGCCACAGCCCTCCAGGGCCCTGTGTCCACCACAAGTCCGTGGGCTGGGCTGAACGGGCTCAGTTGCGTGCGCTGGTGTCTGCCAGGGGCTTCCAAGAGGGGCCGAGGACTTGCCTGAGACCGGACCTCGTCTCCTCTGACTTCTGACTGGAAACATCATGGGCTTCAGATCAAATCTTGTCTCCACGACTTCAGACCTATTTCTTAGCTTCAGTTTATAAAAGAGGAAGAACAGTACAGGGATGGGCCACTTAACGAGGGGGACACATTCTGAGAAAGGCATCGTTAGGCAATCTTGTCACTGTGTGAACTCATGTCATTGAGTGAACTCACACCAACGCGGATGGAATAAACCCATATACGTTTATACTACTGATGGCGCCGTAGGTTTGTTTGCACCAGATCATCACAGACATGTGAGTAATTGTTGTGCTACGATGTTATGATAGGCGATAGGAATGTTCAGCTCTGTTATAATCTTATGAGACCACCGTCACATATGTGATGAATTGTTGACCTAAATGTCATTTTGCGGCACATGACTGTCCCGCAGGTTGGGGTAAGGGAACACTGCAGTTTTAGGAGGATTACCGTAAGTGAGAAAACGCATGTAAAGCACCCAGCACAGAGGCTGGGACCCAAGAGACGCTCAAAGGTGCCAGTTCTCCTCCAACTCCATCACTTAGAATTTTGCCTTGAACTCTGACCTTCGTAACCCCAATCTGGGCCATCCGGGCTAGAAGTGGTGGGGATCTCACATTTAGTTCTGAGGGAGATGAAACCCAGGAAGTGAAACAGACATGGAGAGAAATTCTCGGTAACTTCTAAAGGGACAGGCTGAAAGGAGGTGGGGCGGGGATGAAGTGCCTGAGACACATCTGGGCACGGCCCACAGCTCAGAGCCCTGCTGTCTCTGAGCTCCCAGAGGACAGTCAGCTGCCAGGAGTACCGCCTTGGAGGTCACTTTGGTCTCTGACTTGAGTCTTCTCCCAGTACTGTCTTGGAGGTCAAGTGGCTGGTCGGGGGGCGGGGGGGGGGGGACGGTTTCGGGGGGGGATGAGGCAGAATCACCTCCAATGACCCAGAGCAGCCTTTTTCTGACCCTAAAGGGAGCTTTGGTCAAGGAAGACAAAAAAGACAGATGCAGAGGTGGGCACAATTACAGGAATGTTCCTGGTACTCGGTCCATCTCTGAAGGGAGAGGAGGAGGAAGGGGCTGGAGGCTCGGGTACACAGTGGGTGCTTGGCGCAGTGAGGTACAGATACCTATAAACGCCCTGAAAGCATGAAGGCCTCAGAGAGCATGCAGAAGGGGCTCAAGGTGTGATTCTTAAGTTAGCTACGCAGCAAGTCGGAGAGGAAGGAGAGAAGGGATGGTCTGGGTGGTGGGAAGAAAGAAAGGAGAGAACAAGCAGGGTGCACTCAGGTCAGGAGAGTTTAAGAGGCCGGACCAGGAAGGGGCCAGGACCCAAGCCTAGGCCCTTCTGCCTGCACCTTGGGGTTCTCAGGGCTCTCCTTTGCTCGGACTACCAACCAAAAGAGGTAAAAAGAGGAGGGGGCCGGGGCCCCTCTGCATTCTAGCCCCACGAAGCAGGACTGGCGGAATGGTCTCGATAATGAGTGATGATGGTGTGAGGAATCACAGTTCACACAGCATCTTTACAGGGAGCATCTCACTTAATCCCAGTGAATCTCACAGAGGGCCGACGCACTAGCCTGGAAATGTAGGAGCCCAGGCTCTGGACACAAACCCGCCTCGGCCTGCACACGTCATTTCCCTCCTCTGGCCCCGTGAGTGCTGGGCTACTCTCTCCACAGGGGCTGTCCTGTGGGGGCTGCAGGAGGGAGCCCGGGAATGAGGACGGAGAGGGAAGAGCTGCTGCTGGGAGGGGGGGTGCCTCTGGTGGGATGGGTGATGGAGGGGTGTTGCCTGGTGCCTGTGGTTTCATGCCCAAGCGCCTTCCTTGCTCAGCCAGCCACAGGGTGTGCTGGGTGAGAGGGCTCACTTGCGAAACGGAGTGTCCCCTTTCAAGAAGTGTCTAGTTGCAAATTTCTCCCTCTCCCAAGACAAAAGCCAGGGGCCCACAAAGAACGCTTGTTTTCTCTGTCACAGTGGGAGGCTAATCTCTAGGTCGAGAGCCCCCTGGAGGTGGGGGCACATGCACACATGTGGGTCACATGCACACGTGCACAAACACACGCGCGTGCACACACACACACACACACACACACACCCCTCTGCTTCCTCCCTGGGAGAGATCCTCTGCAGGGCAGAAGGAGGTCCCTGGACACCCCCTTTTCCTCTTTTCCAGAGGTCAGTTCTGGGGGAGCCATCCTCTGGTTGACACCTTTCCGCCTCTAGCAATGGGTCCTGACAAGCCTTAGCCCAGCGCTGACCTTGGGGAAATTTTCCAGGAGGGGCCGGGTGGGGAATTCAGGTGCTTGCCTCAGCCCTCTCCGTGGCCTCCAGACCCCCCCTTCTCCAGGGAGCACACTCTTAGAGCGCCGGGGAGGACCCTGGCAAGGACTCAATCCCACAGAGGAAGTGGAGCTATTGCAGGAAGGGAGGAAAGGAGGAAGGGGTCCAGGGGAAGGTGCGGGAGAGGTCGCCGGCCACCACACCTGCACCTCCGCAGGCACACTCGCTCACACTCAGGAGCACGCACAGCCCTACACCTGGGGACAGAGAGCCATGCGGGGATGAACACACTCGCACACTAGCGAAACCCCATTCCCAGACCCTCCATGGTGGGGTCTGCACACTCTCCCTCCCCAACCCGACCCACTCCTGGAGACAGGCTCTCCAGAACCTTCCTCCGCCCGCTCACCCGCCCTCCTTTCCCAGCTCCCTGCAAGGGGCCAGCGGGAGTCCGCTGCCCTCCACCTGCGGCCTCTAGACGGGTCGGCCGGCTCCCACCACCCCGCACCCGGGAGCCCTGCAGGCCCGGAAGCAGCTACTCTGCCCTGCGGCCAGCGTTGGGCCCGGGCCGGGGGGCGGGCTGGCGGGGCGGCGGGAGTCCGGGCAGGGCTGGGCGCGGGCCGGGCGTCGGCGGGCGCCTAGGCCTTGCTGCCGCGCGGGAGGCTCTGCGGCGAGTGCAGCTCCACCGACTGGCGCCGCCGCACCTCGCGCTCCTCCCAGTCGGTGTCGGGCTCCAGCCCCTTCAGCACGGCCAGGCGCTCCGCCAGGCTCTTGGAGGACGGGAACAGCACGTAGTTGTAGAGGAGGGAGCCCAGGATGGCGCCGACCAGCGGTCCGATCCAGAAGACCTGCGGGGGGAGCGGAGGCGCTGGGGGCGCGGGGGGCGCGGGGGGCGCGGGGGGCGCGGGGCGGCCCTGCTCCTCTCCCGCCACGAGGCCTCACAGGGGTATGGAGTGCGCGCCCTGTGATTAGAAACGGCCACGCGGGCTGTTGGGGGCGCCCTGAGAGTTGGGGTTCAGGGGGCGGATTCCCCCGCGGGCTGCCTGCGCGAACCTGGACACCTTATTCCCCACTCGGTGCCTCGGTTTCCTTTCGATATAACACCGCCCAGGGTTGCGAAAACTAAAGGAGTTAATGTAGAATAAGGCCTGGCACACACTGAGCGCTAGGTAAGTGCCAAATAAAGAATATGTGTTTGGCCAAAACCGGTTTGGCTCAGTGGACAGAGCGTTGGCCTGCGGATTGAAAGGTCCCAGGTTCGATTCCAGGTCCAGGTCCTTGGTTGTAGGTACATCCCCGGTGGGGGGTGTGCAGGAGGCAGCTGATCGATGATGCTCTCTCATTTCTAACTCTGTCCCTCTCTCTTCCTCTCTGTAAAAAAAAAATCAATAAAATATATATATATATTTAAAAAATGTGTTCGCCAGCTATCGTTTATCAAGTCCCAAGGCGCCGAGGGACCTGCTCACACCAGTGACCTCACCTAATCCTCCCCGAAGGCGGTGAGGCCAGATTGCCACGGCCCTCACTGACAGGGGGAGACTGAGACTTTCAGCATCAGACCCCAGGGTGGGCCCCCGGACAAGGTGTGGAGCCCCCCTCTCTGACCTGTTCCAGGCCTGGCTGGGCTGGGTTTCTGGGGAGGGGAGAAGGGTGGGAGGATTCTGCCATTACCCAGTGGTCATCAAATTTGCCAGTGACAACAGCCGGAGCCAGGGAGCGGGCGGGATTCATGGAGCAGCCGGTGTAGTGGATCTGCAGTGGGAGAGGCAGGGGAAGGGAGAGAAAAGAGGGGAGGCCTGGGCAGGAGCCCTGTGCCCCTCTCCAGACCATGAGCTCAACCTAAAGGGAGTCCACCCCCCGGACTATTAGGTTCATGTTATATTTACTGGGCTCTATCCTTTGAGGCTGGAGTGAGATCTGTGCTTGGGTATCTGGCAGTCAGACCCTCTGGGGTGTGTCTGTCCTCGAGGGAGTCTGATCTGTCCCTGTGGGGCCTTTGTCTGCCACGTGGGGGGATTCTGTGTCTCTTTGGGGGAAAGTCTGTGTAGACCGTGAGGCTGAGACCATGACTTACCCCGAGGAGGTGGCCCAGGGCCACGGAGAAGCCGATGGACAGGGCAGGGGTGCCCAGGTTGTCGCTCCGGCGCTCATCGGTGGAGGCGAAGATGCAGAGCACCAGCTGCAGCGTCAGGAAGAGCTCCACGGTGACGGCCTGGCCGCCTGTCGTGTTGTTGCTGAGCTGAGGACAGAGAGGGGGACAGTGAGCCTGTCGTGTTGTTGCTGAGCTGAGGACAGAGAGGGGGACAGTGAGCGTGCTCCCCGCACCGGCTCCGTCGTCCTGTCGAGACTCCAGGGCGGCCCTTAGTCCAAACTACCGCTGGCTTCTTCCTGGGCCCGTGGCCCACAGGCCGAGGGATGGACTCAGACTGGCCTGAGTCCCCGGTCAGAGGAGGAAAAATGACTCCATAGCCCAGGAGATTTGGGGGCTGGGATGTGTGCCTATGATGTGAGAGGAAAAGGGTGCAAAATCCAGAATTCCTTTTTCTTTTCCTTTTAATATTTTTGTTGATTTTAGAGAGGGAGAGGGAGAGGGAGATAGAAACATCAATGATGAGAGAGAATCATTGATTGGCTGCCTCCAGTGCGCCTCTCACCCGGGACCCAGCCCACAACCCGGGCATGTGCTGTGACCATGAATTGAACCATGACCTTTTGGCTCATAGATCAATGCTCAACCCCTGAGCCGTATCGGACAGGCCAAAATTCCTGTTTCTGGAAGAGCAAGAAGAGAAAAGGTTTTGAATGCAGCAGGAAGTTGAGGCCAGGTAACAGGAAGGCCTTCCTCTCTCGCTAGGCCGTAGGATCCTGGTGTAACCAGAGGCCTTTGGTCAGAGGCTCCCAGGGACCGGGACGAGTGTCTGGGGATAGTCCCAGTGTGCCCCTCACCCCCCTCAAGTCTAGCATATGACTCTTTCCTCTAACCTTTGACGGTTCCCTTTGACTTTGCCTGTTTCCCATTGCATTTCAGGCCTCAGTTTTGCCCTGTGATTTGCTCTCTGCACACACCACGGAGGCTGAGGTGAGGGTGCTGGAGCCCTGCATTGTGATGCCTCCATACCCATGTGGGGTGCCTGTGACCCCATCAGCCCCTGCCTTGGGCAATGAGAGAACTTGAGGCCAAGCAAAGAGCTAATTTCATAACTGGACCACACCCAGAACTGGATTTCTCTCTGGGGTTTGTCATTCTGTGCCCTACACCCTGCCCTTTGGGGCTGGGCACTGAACCAGGTAGACCTGTGACAGCTCTCACCTCCCATGCCCCTTCTGCAGGCCTTGAAACCTGACCCCTGGATCCTCGCCATTGGGCTGTCACCGTCGGGCCTCCTAGAGCTATGCCAACCCCCTGTGGGCCAATGTCACCGCCTGTGGTGGGGGACAGTGAGAGGCACCTTAAAGGCAGACACTTTGGAGGCCTCCGACTTACCACGGGCCCCTACTTACTTCCGCCTTGGTTTGTCCTTCTGTAAAATGGGGACAACAAAATTCCGGAGGGCTGTGTGAGGACTGGAATCGACAGTGTCAGAGCCCCAGCCCCATTCCTGCTGGTAAATGGCTGCTCTAAGGGAGACGGTGTGGACAGGGGTTTGGTGTCAGATGGCTCTGGGTCCATTTCCAGGTACTGACACTTACTGGTTCTGTGACTTAAATCAGTTGAATGCTGAGCCTCAATTTACCGCTCTTGGTAGAGGGTCCCAGAACTCACCTTACAGCATTATACCAAGACTGAGATGCTATCTGGCCTGGCACAGAGCAGGCGCACACCAATGGAAACTCCCCGGGGGCCAGGCTAGCCTTTCTAGGGGCCTCCAGCCTCTGGGTAAGTCAGCCCCACGGCTGCCTCCCTGCAGCCAGGCGGGGCTCTCCTCAGCCCCTCACGGTAGTGATAACCTTGGGGGAGACCTCCCAGACCCTCCCATTCTGAGGCTCCAGCAGCTGTGACATGATGGAGGAGCGAGACTGAGAGTCCCCCTGGCTCCTTAGTCATCCTGTCGCCCGCGATTAGAGGAGATTCCTCAGTCACATTTTGAGACTTTCTTGGCCCTGTTCTCAGGAAGTTGCTCTTTGTCTACCTCCCCTCGCTGCCAACTGTTCTGTCCTCAATGGAAACGGTCACATTCCTCAGGCTGTCCCCGGGCATGGCCGTCCTAGCCCTTCCTCAGCCCTGAGCCCCAGCCCCATCACACAGTCCATTCGGGGGAGGTAAGAAGAGAGAAGCCCCCCAGTTGGGGCCTCTGTGTCCCTCGTATGAGAAAGGGCCACTCGCACAGAGGAGGGGCGGCCACAGGGACTGCGCAGGACTCTTCCGACACACCAGAGCTCTGAGCTAGTGGCCAGGGACAGAGCAGGCCAAAAACCACAGGAAACTGAGGCCCGAAAGAGGCACTTGGGGGAGGGGGAGTCAGGGTTCTGATGAGGGGCACAGACCATTCCTCCCCACCACGCCCTCAGAAGCCCAGGCCTTGCCCAGACAAGGGGAGTGGGTGGGGGCATGGAGGGGCTGGGCATCACCCTCAGCTCCCCACGCACCCACCTGCCGTGCCGGTGAGCCGCCAGCCATGAAGCCGGCAGTTAGCTCACGGGCTCCAGGGTCTGCTGCCCCTGGTTCTGGCACTTTCTCTGGTATTGACACCCGGTAGAACTTTTGGCTTGTCCTTCCCCTCTCCGCGCCTCAGTTCCATGTTCTTAAGGAAGGGCGTGCCCACCCTACTCCGCAGCGCTGTGGGAGGTGTCGTGAGAGGCTGGTGAGGAGCCCCTCGCAGGAGGGCGGAACACGCTGAAGAAAAGGTGGGTCCTTCTCCCCTCGGAAGACCCAGGGGACTCACTCCGAGGCTCCTCCCAGCTCGGAAAGCACTTCTACTTTGGGACCCTGTCCTCCACCGAGCCCCAGCCCAGGCCTTCCTCCACGAGGGAGGGCAGAAGGCAGCAGCAGCGCCGGGGGTATCCTCTCGGCGTCAGCTCTGGCCCTGCCGCTCCTTCCACCTGGCTCTCCTGTGGCAGCTGTGTTTCTGGTTCCGGCACCTCCGCTCCCACCCCCGGCAGCTTCCCTCCGTGTCTCTCTCTCAGTTCCCAGACCCTCACCCAGACCTGCTCCCTCCACCCCATCCGCCCTGGGGAGGGGGTGCAGCATGGGCACTCACCGCGTTGATGGCCAGGTCCCCCCGGATGTCTTCGGGTGTGATCTCGTGCAGCAGAGCGGCCCCTGCCACGGCCCCCAGCAGCTGGGCGGCCACGTAGAAGGCCGCCCGGAGGAAGGAGACGTGGCAGCCCACCAGGCAGGCCACGGTCACCGCAGGGTTGATGTGGGCTCCGCTGACGTGGCCCAGCGCCTGCACCAGGGTGCCGATAGCCAAGCCGAAGGCCATGGCGATCTGCAGCCCCGAGGGCAGGGCCTGCGGCCAGTTGAGGGCCGAGCCCAGGCCAAAGAAGACGAAGAGGAGCGTGGCCAGGAACTCTGCAAACACGGCCCGCGAGAAGGCTATGGACCGCAGTTCCCACATGCTGCCGGCTTTCCGCGGGCCGGCCCAGCGGTCTCAGGGCAGGAGGCTTGGGTCTCTCTCTCTCTCTTTCTCTCTCTCTCTCTCTCCCTCTGTCTCTCAGGGTTTCTGGGGAGGCTGGGTCATGGGCATTTACAGGGTCCTTCCGTCCAGCATTTGGACACGTGGGGCGGAGGTGGAGTTTAGACTAAGATTTCCTCACCCTTATAGCTTCTCCCTGCCCCCACTCCCCACCCCTGCCCACCACATGCCTATCACCCCATCTTGGCCTTCACAGCTGAATAATGTTCCCCATTAATGAGCTCCAGATAAGGACTGATTTTCCGTGTTTGTCCCCTCGCTTAACCCCAGGGCTGTTGCCCCGGGGCCTCCCCGGCCCCCACGGGGCCTGTGAACGGGGATTCTGTAGGAGGTTTGCCAAGACCCCTCTCTCCGACTCAAACTGTTGGCCAAGGCAGGGGCAGTGCTTCACCCAAAACTGACGGCGGGAGGATGTCAGTGCTACCCCTTCTGGTGACTGGGAAGTTCTTCCTGCCGTCTGATCACCAGTTACTTCTCTAGGGGATGGAAAACAACTGGTTGGCTGTACGCGGACCTGCTGAGGCACAAAGGCTTTGTGTCCCTTCTGTGTTCGCTTTCTTGCAGCCAAGCACCCGTGAGTGACTAAGCTTCACCCCCTCCCTGGAACCCCAGCCAAACAGCAGCCCCACCGCCTGGAGGCAGGGGCGGTCCCAGGGCGGTGGGACCCCGGCCCTGGGTGACGGGGTGAACCTGGGGTTGACAGGCAGCACCCCCCTGCCCCTCTTTGTGACCCCCTTCTCACCCAGCTCTGTAAAAAGGGGACCGTAATGCAAGAGGTTCTACTCCACAATCTCCTCCCACCAGCCCAGATGTCCATTCCTGGGCCTGCGACTGGGACTGCTGGGTTGAGGTTTGGATTAAGTAAAATAATGTATGTACGGTGCTCAAAGCGGTGCCTGGCCCACAGTAAGCCATCAATTAATACCGGCTATTCTTACTAATAGCATTATTTATACTCCGAGGAGAATCAGTCTCCCCAAACTCACATGTCAGGGTTCCTGAAGCTGGGACAGAATCTGGGTGCCCCCTGGAGCTCAGAGCCACGCCGGGCTCTGGGAGGACATTTCTGAGAGGCAGTGAGCTGTGCAGGCGTACGGAGGCCGCAGGCTCGGTAGGCGGCTCTCCTGCCTGGGTGCCCACACAGCCCAGCACCAGGCAATGCCACTTCCTGCCATCAGTGCTGCTCCAGCCCAGGGTCTAAGAGGCATTTGGGTCTGGAAATCCCTCCTACCCCCCTGACCTCACACCCTGCTCTTCCCAATCCCCCCAGCCCTGTTCCCTTTCCTGCGGATGAAAAAGCAGGGTCCGTCTTGGAGGGTGGTCAGGAGGACTAGCTTTTGGGCCCTGCTCTGCCTCCTGACCAGCAGTCCCAGTCGCAGGCCCAGGAAGGGAAACCCGGGCCGGTGGAAGACTGTAGAGTAGATAGAACCTCTTGTATTGTATCACAGGGGTCATTGAGGTTCAGGGAGGGCGAGTGACTCAGCTGAGGTGGCCCAGCAAGTTGGTGGCTGAGCTGGGGCTGGAGCCTCACCTGGAGAGCATTCGACCACACCCTGCCTGCCATCGCCCTCCGAGCCTCAGTTTCCTAGTTCAGAAAATGGGAGCAATGCTGCCCACACCACAGTTGTTTTGAGGATGGAGCAAGAGAATGAATGGGAAATACTTTGCAATTGGGAAGGCACCACCCAAATATATAGAGGGACTAGTGCACCCCACTAGTGAGGAGGCGGAGGACGAGAAGGAGGAGGGGAAGGCAGAAGAAAATTACCGCCCCTCCCCCGCCCCCAAACCAGGAATTCTCATGGGGCTTGTCCTCTGGTGTATTTCCAGGGCCCAGAATGGTGCCTGACACACAGGTGGATGCTCCGCTGTGTCCTGAACGAAGGAAAATACCCCTCCGCCCCTGCCTCCTGCTGAGACAGGCTGAGGTGCACCAGCTGGGCTGAGCACTGGGTGGACGTGAGTGCCGAATCCCCACATCCACTGCCCGCTCTCAGTCCGGTGCCCAGTAGTTTTCCAATATCTCCGGGTAAAGCTCCCCTCCCTCCACCTGCCGGCCGCCCTCTCCTTTTCCAGGACACGGCTCTTACTTGGCACCCTGGTTCTCTGCTCTCAGCCTTTCCTTCCCAACCTCAGGCACCCCTACTGCTCCAGGAAGAGATGCAGAGGGAGGGACACATCGTGGCTTGCCCTCGTCCTTGCCTGGGCCCAAGGCTGGGAGGAGGGAGGATGCCAGTCTTGCCCGGGGCCTTATCATTGCCTGTGAGCCAGGGAGACAGAAGGTGTCCCCGTCAAGCCACGGGTTCGAGCCCTGCTTTCTGGCAGGCAGTGGAGCACTCCCAAAGGGAGGGCTATGTACTTTGTCTCCAGTGAGCGACCACTGTGTGGTGACTTTATGACGTCCAAGATGCCATCCATTGTATGATGCACTGCTAACGCGGTGTGACCAAAATGCTCTTTTGGAGACGGGTGGTGGTAATGGTTGCACAACAGCATGGCTGTACTTAATACCGTCGAGCTGTGCACTTAAAAATGGGGAGGATGGTACTTTGTAGCAATTAAAAATAATTTTAGAAAGTAAGTAAAGGAACATGACCTGAAAATGCCTTTTTAAAAAAATATATATTTTATTGATTTTTTACAGAGAGGAAGAGAGAGGGACAGAAAGTCAGAAACATCGATGAGAGAGAGTCATCAATCAGCTGCCTCTTGCACACCCCCTACTGGTACATGCCCTTGACCAGAATCAAACCCAGAACCTTTCAGTCCGCAGGCTGACCCTCTATCCACTGAGCCAAACCAGTTTTGGCTGAAAATGCTTTTTTAAAACCAATTTTTATTTTGTGTATTTATTTGAAGAAATCTTATTTATTTATTTACACCTCAGTGTTTAAGTCAAAAAATCTCTCTTGTGCATGCATGAAAAAGGAAATGAAAGGCAAAAGAAATTGGCTGAAATTCAACTGAGCCTTGAACAACAGTGTTTGAACTGCATGAGTCCACTTACATATGGATATTTTTTTTAAATGCTGTAAATGTATTTTCTCTTCTATATGATTTTCTTAATAATGTTCTCTTTCTCTCATTTCCTTTATTGTAAGAATATAATACATATAACATACAGAATATGTGTTAACTGACGGGTTATGTTATGAGTAAGGCTATTTGTCGTTAATAGTAGGCTATTTGTCGTTAAGTTTCGGGGGAGCAAAAAGTTGTATGTGGATTTCGACTGCAAAGGCCCCCCGAATCCTCGTGTTGTTCAAGGGCCACCTGTCGCCTAGATTTCCTTCGCAGTCAGAGTCCGCCTCTCCTCAGCCCTGTGAGGATTCCGCGTCCCCGCGCGTCTCTGCAGCGTCCTCTGCGTCAGGAGAGGCAGTCGTCAGGCACCATTCCTACGAGACCGCCCGCCGCTGTGTCCGAATTCCTCTCCATGCCTCCCTGCTCCTTCTGCAAACTTGATCGCGTGTTCTTTCCTGCTCCGCATGTGACTGGCAAGCATGCTGCCCTTTTCTCCGTGATAAAACTCACCACAGCCCCATCTACTTGCGAGGCCGTTCCTGTCTTAGGTTTCATAAAACACTTGGCTGTTGTTTTGCAATAAAACATGGGACCGCTCTTCAATGGTAACTATTTGCTTCACTAACGCCACATTCTTGCTGCGCTCCAGTTTCCGTCTTTGTGTACACACAATAACTCGGTGTTTAACTGCGAAACCACAGTGTAACCTCCTTGAAGACATTTAAATAGCAATTAGGTTGAACGGATGTAGGCTTGAGGGGCGGGGAACTTACCTGACCAAGTTGAAGTGCGCACAGGCAGTGACAGCCACGCCCGGCTGCTCCCACACAACAGGATGGAGAGAGATGTTAACAGGAGGAAGAGGGCACCTCAGAGGGGAGGAGAGGCAGCAGTTAGGATATCAGCATGCACCTAGCACTCAGGCGGCCGAGCACTGCTCTCGACATGCTACACGTATTAACCCTGCACAGCAGTGCTGTGAGCTAGACATCCCATTTTTCAGAAATGAGGAGGAGAATGAGGCAGAGCGGGGTTCAGTAACTTTCCGGAGGCCACACAGCTGTGAGTGGGGAGGCAGGATTAGAACCCCAGCAGTCTGGCTTCAAGAGGGCTTCTGGATTGTGACAGTGAATCACTGCCTCACCTTCAGAAAGAATCGAGATGGAGAAGAAGTGAGAAAGAATGCTAAAGCGCCGAAACCAGTTTGGCTCAGTGGATAGAGCGATGGCCTGCGGACTGAAAGTTCCCGGGTTCGATTCTAGTCAAGGGCATGCATCTTGGTTGCGGGCACATTCCTAGTAGGGGGTGTGCAGGAGGCAGCTGGTCGATGTTTCTCTCTCATGGACATTTCTAACTCTCTATCCCTCTCTCTTCCTCTCTGTAAAAAGAAAAATCAATAAAATATATTAAAAAAAATAAAAAGAATGCTAAAGGACTCTCACCCTTTCACACACACACACACACACACACACACACACACACGCGCGCGCGGGTGATTTGGGTGATGTTCGCTGGTGACTTGAGGTGGGGCTGAAAGAGGGTGTCGTGGGGAGCTGTGCCGTGAGGACGCCGCACGTGGGAGCGGACGGAATTGACCGCTGGTGCGCGGTGTTTCCTGCTCTGAGCTGAGCGCACATGCGCTCCGATCTCCCCACGAGGTCAGAGAAAGTGGGTCACATCACAGCCTGGAGGCTGGGCCCCTGGGGGATGAGGGAGAGGGGCCGGGCCGTCCACAGTCCGGGGCAGGGGGACGTGTGGGGAGCGGACCCCGGCAGCAGCCGGCGGGAGGGGGGGGGGGCGGGGGCTCGGCCCTCAGGAAGCTGGGGGTGCCGCCGGGTGTCGGATCCACGCGGTTCCGGGACACAGTGCAAGCCCTTGGATGTCCTGTCGGGTTTGCCAATAGAATACAGGGTGCCCAGGTCATTTGAATTCCAGATAAAGAATAAAAGGTTTAGCCGAAACCGGTTTGG